GGGGGTGCGGGGGTCCCCTTTCCTAGGGGGTGCCCCCATCAGGGGGTGCAGGGATCCCCTTTCCTAGGGGGTGCCCCCCATCAGGGAGTGCAAGGATCCCCTTTCCTAGGGGGTATGGGGGTGCGGGGGTCCCCTTTCCTAGGGGGTGCCCCCCATCAGGGGGTGCAGGGATCCCCTTTCCTAGGGGGTACGGGGGTGCCCCTATTGGGGGTGCAGGGGTGCCCCCTCCCCATCCGCAGGCGCTCAGACCTCAGCCAGCAGCGCTTTACCAGGCCGCAGGGGGGTTGCTCCACATCCCACCCAGGCTTTCCTGCCCAGCGGGTCACTGGTGCAGGGAATTCCAGTGGGAAAGGGGGATAATGGATTAAGGAAAGGGGGACTCCCTCTTCCCTCGGGGTGCCCACCTCAGAGCCGCGCTGGGGTGATGCTCCCCTCGTCCCCAGTCACTGCCCAACGCCGTCCTGGGCAGCGCAGGCCGCCCCTGGCCTCTCCCGAGGGATTTTCTCCCTGGGGCCTGGCTCTGCTCCACAAGCTGAACCCCCCAGCACCCGGCTGCGGCTGGAGAAAAGCGTTTTGGGAAGGATCTGCTGGTCTGAGTCTTGCAGGGCTGAGGAGGAGGAACAAGTCCGTGCATGTCCTGCAGCAACCTGCGGGGAGGATTTGGAGGGATCTATCTGGAAAACGCATCCCAGTCCACAGGCAGGAGAGGTCTGAGCCCAGGGCAGCTTCTCCCAGGGTTAAACTGCAAGGCCGGAGGGCACAAGGCCCCCTGTGCTGCGGCGGGAGTGGGGTCTGCGGCTCCGTCTCTGATGCCCATGGGGTCAGCTCACCCCAGTGCAAGGGGGGCCGTATTCTGCAGCACCCTCCCAGCACGGCGTAAGCTGCCCAGGCACCTTGGACACCAAGGGTGCAAACGCGGGGCACTCCTGTGGGGCACGGGAAGGTGAGAGCGGGCTTCCAAGCGACAAAGACCAAAATAAAGGGGTCCCTTGGGAGGGCCAGGCACCCTCGAAGGCCCCTGGAGCCAGCGGGTGCTGAGGTGCTGAGCAGGACCCTTGGGCCTGCAAAACACCCGTGCGTTTCCCGGCTGGGCCAGCAGCTTCCCACTGACCCGAGCGGCTGGAGAATATGTTTGGGCATGTTTGGCTGGAGGCTGCCACGCGCCGCAGCAGCCTTTG